AAACAAAAACTTGACTCACTAACACCACTAAAACACCTAACGACCTAGATAACGCTGTACAATGTTTTACTGAAACTATGCAACATTCTCTCCTAGAGTCGACAAAAATACGAACTAGATCTTAAATATAACAAGTACGTCACACCACTATAATCCAGTATCATTATAGAGAAACGACGCGCAAGAGCCAAGTGGGGACGCACTTGTTATCCATTTGACAAACGCATATACAGTCGAGTACCTCACTTACTAAGAAATGAACTACAGACCCCGAGAAAAAAATATTTCAAGGCTACACACTTTCCCTGACGGCAGAGGACAAACCTCTTGGGACTGTCATCGTGGAGGGTAAGTGCTGTTAGTAACAAATTGAAACGAAACCTCCATAGGATCGTTAGGTTTTGCCACAGATGGAAATTCAGGTTAAACACAACAAAAATTGAGGCAATTCTATGCACAAAACGGCATCCTATACAAAGGGAATTTATAAGAATCGGTGACTCAAATGTTCCTTGGGGCAATAGTGTTCAATACCTTGGTTTACTCGTTAGCAAACTAGCAAACTTAACTTTGGTACCAACACTCGTAAAATGGTTGATAAAGGGAAGTGTGCTATCAAGACTCTGTTCACATTAATGTGTAGAGGATCAGGGATGAGCCTCCAAAATAAACTAATTATATATAAAACCATAGTTAGACCCATGCTGTTATACGCCTGTCAAGTATGGAGCTACACAAGTAACACCAATATAAAGTGACTACATTCAATTCAAAATAAATTTTTAAGGTTAATAACATCCTCTAAAAGAAGTGCTCGTATAAGCTGTATGCATGAAATTTTAAACAACTCATTCATTAAGGATGATATCAAAAGGTTAACTCCTTTTATGAACGTAGCGCTGAGAGTACAAATACGACAGTAAAAAATGTAGGAAACTTTAACCTCAACAAAAATTGGAAACACAGAAGGATCATACACATTTTAGTATGACTGCTTTATATATTTATTCACTGTGTTATTATTTCATAAATTATTTATTTATTAAATTATTTAATTGATTTATTTATTTACCAAAGAAATGAGTAATTATTTGATTAGATATTGAACAAGTCTACTCGATGATTTTAACTTATAATAATTAGTAATTATTTATTAACTTGCTGTTTTATTAATTTATTTATGAAATTAGTTATTATTAAAGTAAATGTGTAGTTAAACTTTTCTATTGTACATGTCTAGTCAATGATTTATAATTTATAATATATGTAATTATTAATAATTTGCTTTTTATTAATGTAAATGGTTATCTCTTGAAGAAAATGTGCAATTATTTAACTTAGATATTATACAATTCTAGTCAAACAAATGCACTGTGTTCTAAGCCTATTGTATTTATAATTTATTTAATCTTACTGCAAGTGGATTTTGTAATAATTTTTCACCACTGTTCTTTATTTCTTTAGGGCAAATTAGCAAAAATTGTAAATATACTTATGTCTTCTGCCCCAAGGATGTATAATGTCCTAGACATTTCCCCTTTTATTCACTTTTTTACAAAATGTATGTAACTTATATGTAACTTATATATTAAATAAATTCCAAATTCCAATTCTTTGTACTGCAACCGTTCCTTCTCGCCTTCGCGGAGAGGATGGTTCTTGGGCCTCGTCCAACGAAGAAAAAGTCGACTTATTCGCGTCCTATCTATCGAGCGTTTTCACTCCTCACCCTGACCTGAATGATCCCGACTTCAATAGAACCATTGAACAAGACGTAACATCTCTTCTACCGCTCTCCCTTTCACCAAAACCATTCACACCCAATTAAGTATCCTTTATCATAAGCCATCTACCCTTAAAAAAGCTCCTCGTTTCGATCTGATCACCGCAAAAATCCTTCAATATCTAACTAAAAAAGTTATAAATTTCCTTACCTATCATAAACAATTCTGCCCTTAGAACGACATACTTGCCATCCCAATGAAAATTTTACCTCACTCGAATGATGTCAAAGCCTAAAAAACCACATAATCTATCCTATCACCAATTAGTCTGTTGCCATAATGGGCAAAATCCTAGAAAAAACTCCTGCTTAAACACTTTCTCCCCGTCCATCATTCTTATAAAAAAAATCATTCCTAAAATCCCACCTGTCTGATAGATGCTTTCAAGCCATCAATGGCCACTTTCTATCAACCGGGTATCGCATAAATGCATGGTACAACAAGGAAGTATCTTAGGACCTATCCTCTACACCGTATACACCGCATTCCTACTCTTCCGGAAACCATCCTTACTCCTACGCGGATGATACCAACATCCTTTGCTCCCATAAAAACCCTGTCATTTCAGCCTACAAAGCCATGTCACATCCCTTGAGCAGTGATTCAAGCAGTGGAAGATAACAATAAACATTAAAAAATGTGAACATGTCACTTTCACTCTTCGGAGAATAACCACTGCTCCCATCTATTACAATAGTATCCCTTCCCACAAGCTTATGTAGTCCGCTACCTTGGGCTACACATTAACAACCGACTTACATGGAACTCTTACACGCGACTCGAAAGACAAGAGATAAACAGACAATTCAGACTTCTAAAAATATTGCTGAATAAACGGTCAAAACTGACTTTACAAGACAAACCACTCATTCATATAACTTTTTTTAGCCCCATTTGGGCATACGACATCGAACTTTGGGGTTCAAAAAACGTTCCAACCTCCACCGTTTCCAATCCCTAGAATCAAAAATACTTCGAACCACCGTCAATGCTCCTTTGTCTCCAACCTTACCATTCAGTGTTGATACTAAACCTCAGATATCCAACACAAGCCCCTCTGACTCCTGTATCCATTGCATCCCTAGATTTTCCATCCCCAAGCAAGCAAAATTTCGAAATAAATTACCAAAAAAAGTACCAAAAAAGAATGGGCAATAATGAGAAAATGCTCCGCTGAGAACGGTACCATCTGCTGGTACACTGACGGATCTAGGACGAAGGAAGTTACGGCAGGAGTGTTCAGTCCTTGAACTAAATACGTAGAACGCATGAAAATACGCCGCTATCTTCCAGGCTGACATTCATGCAATTGAGAGATGTATCCAGTTCAACTGGAACGAAGGGTACAAAAACAAGAATATAGCTATCATATCAGATAGCCAAGCAGCCATTAAAATATTAAGTTCAAACATCATTATCTTAAAGGTAGTACTGAACTGCAAAACGTAGTCACCCAACGCTGAGTCCCAGGAAATGTGGGAATACAGGACAACGAGAGAGCGGATGCCTTGCATAGAAAGGAGCTGTTATACTGCTGATAGATCCGGAGCCCTTCTCTAGCATAGTGATTCACATTATCAATGAGTATCTTAGACAAAAATACAAATTGAAAATTAGAAACATTCGCTCGTTGGGAATAAGCAATCCAAGAATCTTATAGCGAATTTTGGAAGAAAAGAAATCACAGAATGCATCACAAAAAGAGGGAAAACTTCGAATCATGGCACTGCAGACTGAATAGGCATCTGAAGAAGATTCTTAATTATCAGATTATAACAAGATCATAACACAACACGGCAGGTGCAGATTCTGCAAAGAAGCAGAGGAGACACCAACACACCTACTAACAAACTGTGGCGCCACATTTGCCCGCGGTGGAAGTGTTTTGGGATATGCAACGTAAGAAATTCAACCACTGATATCGGGCCTACTAATCAGTTCCTTGATGAACTAGAACTCACCGGCGTGGTATAAACACAGAATACAATAGCTCTCCATTTATTTCCGATGAAACTTCAAAATGCCAGGTTGAAGGCTGATTGACCATATTTCAATTCTAATGGGGAAAATTATTTTAAAATAAGAATTTTGGGATGGAACTTAGAGAAAATAACGGGTTGTGAATCTATTCGAACTCACTTTTGGCCTAACAGCTGTGCATGCTTTTTCCCAAAAATCTGGAACTTCGGTGCCAAACTAAATAGGTCAGAACCTATCTTTAATCACGTTTTTTTTTCTATCGCATTCTCCCTCTATATATTTTTTTAATTGTTAGCTCTGTCGATCAGATCAGGTGTTTATCTATTTTGGTGTTATGCTGGCGTACACCGACTGAGTTGATAAAAACCAACCGTTTTACATCCGTATCGATTTTCTTACAACCGGACGGTTTTCGTAAATAAGATATGTGCCATTTATCAACAAGGTTGGGACAACCTGTGGTTTTTGTGAGCCCCCCCCCCGCCATATGCTGGACGTTTTCGAAAATATGTGTCAAACCCCTGACTTTCTACGTACGAAGAGAAGGAAATTTTTCAATATTCGAAAAGGAAAGCAGAACATCGCGAATGTCGATAGTAATGAAGAGCGCGTTATTGAATGATCCAGAGCGGGAATCGTGTGCGATTTGAAACGAGTCAACAGTATATTTATTTCGTTACAACCACACATTTTTATATCCACTGCTTATTTTTATTATTTATTGTTTTAATTTATAAAATTAAATTATACGACTTTTTTTATTTTAATCAGAGAGAATATGAACTAAACTTGCTTTTAAAAAAAGTTAAATTAATTATGATATTATTAAATATAAATCATTTCGAATGTAACTGCTGAAAATAGTTAAAAATTTGCCTGTCGTCGTTTTGTTTAGACACCATGTGTAAAAAAAGTTTTGTACTTTGCGCAATTCAAAACTGTCGACATTCGGATGGCTTGTCATAAAAGGGATTCACATCAACTCTGATGAGGTTGTCATCATTTTTCACGATCATACTTTACAGCATAGCCCCATCGTTTGTTTACGTTCTCTGAATCTACAAGACGATTGGGGATGTCAAAGTGAGATAATGCTAATCCAAAAGCAAACTAATTCATAGCTAAGGATGTCAATGTAGAAAAATTGGGGGGAAAGGAAAAGTGTATTTTATAGTGTTTTTTTTTTTTGTATGTATGTGTTATTTTGAAACATCGTGATCTGGCGTGTCTGCTCACCGGTCCGAAGTTGTCGAAGCCGGTCCTAGCGGCCACCAGACTCGCCGTGTCCCGGCCGCCGTCCCCATGGAGCTTGACGAAGAAAGAGTTGGTGAATACTTCAGCAGATGCCGTAGATACAAGGGCGATGAGGATGTAGGCGCCCTCGACCATGGTTGTTACTCTACTGAACAAAAGTGAAGTCAACTCAACGATGACGTCATATAGATGATCGATTTTCAAACGGCGCAAGACAACCCCTCCCGCATTCAACCCGCCGCACCATCAGTATTCCAACTATATTAATTCCCAAAAATCAGTTTCCACAGATTAAGGGCAAAATATGTCACGGTTCTGTTGTCATAGAGCATCAGAGAGCTTTTGTGAATTTAAACTGACATCAAGACAGTACGATTACTTGCTAGACTGAACTCGGAACGGGTGTACAAGGGCTGATCTTCAAAATGTGAAGGTATGCATATTTGAGTCAACATTGGTGAAATAAAGCTATTTTAAATTTGATTTTACATAAAAGTTCATAAACATGACTTTTCCGAAGCTGATCAGTTTGAGTCTTTTGGGTGTAAAAGGTTTTTTTTTAATTCTAGAGACAGTCCTTCCACCTAGAAGAAACACTCGTATCAAAAAAACATCGAAATTTTGTCTACTTTTTAAATGTTATTGTACTTTATACAAACCCGACTTTATTTTATCCAGACCGATCTTCTTGTTACATTGGTTGCTAGGGTCAATGACAAAGGTTCAGACATCGTTAAACCGTATTTTTCAGGTTTCGTTTTTGCCTCCTAATTTTACTGTTTAACGTCTTTTGATAAATATACGAGGCAGCGCAAAATTATGATCTAGTTGTGACATTTTAGGCTTTTGAAGATGTCGAGTAGTTTAGGCGACCTCAGAAATCCAGGTGGACAACAATGTCTTCCTAACGGGTAAATCGATTTATCAAATATATTTTCAATAGCAATGGCGAACTTAAACTATTTTAATTTTTTTTAATAAAAACTCATAAATATAACTTTTGATAAGCTGATCGGTTCGAGTTTTTTAAAGGTAAAAAGTCTTGTTTTATTCTAACTATAGTCCTACCACCTAGATATGATTATATCAAAAAATGCCCAAATAATATCTATTATTTTAAATTTTACTGTGATTGTTCAGATCGAATCCTTGTAATATCATAACCGAAAGGCGGTTTTTTATATAAAGATATTTATAGATACCTAATATAAATATATTTTATACATAGATATTTTATTTTAGCCAGACCACTTATCTCCTGTTACCTATTGTTACATTGGTTGATAAGGTCAATAACAACGGTTCAAACATCGTTAAGCCGAATTGTTCTGGTTTTGTCTTGTTCGTCCTATTTTACAATTTAGCGTGCGGTAGATTGACGTGACATTGCAAAATTATATCTAGTTTTTAAATATATATATTTTTTAAACTTTAAAATAACTAAAATTATTTCGTGGATAAAAGTACGATTTTTTAAATGTAAGTCGAGTGAATTCGACGAAATATAGCATATTTACTCCCATTGTTAGTCTCGTTCTTTAATTATGGTATCGACTGAATTTGTGCGCTGAAACCGGTAAAGTAAACAGTAGAAACTCAGATTCGCGTTTGTATTTGGAAGGATGAAGCATCACTACGAAAATGTATTTTTGAGAGTAATTCGTATGTAAAGTATTCAGCTATTTGCTTAATTTTTGGTGAAGACTGATGATAGTTAATTGCAGAGCTGTCCCAAGATTTAAAGTCGTATTCTTTTAGAGTAATTTCAATTATACGAATCAATGGATTTTGATTTATTTATTGATTTTTATTTATCATTGGAAATGTGCAGTTAGTTAAATGTAAATGCCATCATTTATCGACTTCATGAGCGTCCTTAATTTATTTTTTATTGTATATAGTATTTATAAGTGTACAATTTAAAAACCACAAAGCTGAAATTTGCTGATGATGAAAATGGATACTAGGACTACTTTGTTTTACAAGCACTGCAGCCTTTGGCTTTTTTTTTCTTTTTTCTTAAAGATGACTTGGGTAGCTGTTTCTTCCTCGTCATTGCATAACCTACAAATCGGGTCATCACTGATTATGCCCATGTTCTGTAGATGTTTTCTCAGATGCCAGTGACCAGTCGGTAATCCTACCAATCCTATGTGCTTTGCCCTCTCTTACTGTAGCAGTGAGTTTGCCAGTCTTGGTGAAGGTTGTTTTAATATAAGCTTGCTATATCTAGCACCTCAAGAGTTTTTCCACATCTCATTTTGCCTTTTTTGGATCCATTCCGTGAAGTAGGATTCTATATTTGTTGAGGTTATCCCAAGAATAGTTTCAGGAATATATGTATACATAACTTTGCAGATCCGCTTCTGGCCAGTTTGTCTGCCTTCTCGTTACCCGACATTCATTTGTGTCCTGGTACTCCAGATATCATCAGGTCGTTGTGTTTCCACAGGTTTTGGAGGTTTTGGATCAGTCACTGACTAATTTTGATGTGATTCTTTTCTCAGCTGGTGCTTTAATAGCTGCTTTTTTGTCAATGTAATCTCTTTTAAGATTTTCCAAGGAACAGGAGTTGGTGATTTGTATTTCAGCTTGAAAGACAGAGATCTTTAATGAGTTTGATTGCTCATATTTTGGGCTTGTACATAAAACGCCTGATCCGGTTTCTTTATTTGTTTTGGGGCTATCTGTAAACTATATCAATGTCCTCCTGCTTTCTTCTTCTCCTTTGTAGTCTGTTGAAACTTTATATCCTGGTGTAAAGAGTGTTTCCGGGATCGTGCAGTCAGCCCCAAGCTGTGATGTGGCTAAGCCTGCTACTTGCAAGAACTTTCACTATCAGCTTACACATTAAAGTGTGAAGCCATAGACTTTTTATTGTAAAATAAGTTAGCGGTTTATTTTGATCGTTTTCAGCAGTCTGAAGCGTGTGTTGGTGGGTAATCGTTTGTAGATAGTTGACTAGATTTGCTGGTGTGCGACCGATACTATGATAGTATATCAGAGCGGTGGTTAATCTTCGAAAGATGGACGTGACATTTTTATTTTGTATATTTGTTGTCATTTTCTAGATCTTGAATCACTACTCAAGGGTTGTGACCTGGATTTGCAGGTTTCTGGCTGAGATGACGGGATCTTTATGAGAGCAAAGGATGGCGGTATCATCCGCATAGGTGGTAAGGGCATTACACGACGATTAAGAATTTTAGGATGATGTAAACGGTAAAAGGGAGGATGAGGAATAGGATCTAGGAAGTGGGGATTTTATGTTTCCCAAGCACTGCAGCCTTCTGGCTTATTGAATTTCGCCTAGTTCCTTAGATCAGTGTAATCGACTCGATCCTTCTATTAAGAAGAATTAGGTCATCGACTCTCATTGCTACAATTCCTTCCCAGGGTTTTCTTTCTATCCCAGGTTTACGTCTGTATTGATAAAAATGAAGGATTATCTGAAAAACTTAATTTTGATTGTACAGGTGTGGAGTACAAAAAACAGCCCTCTCCAGGTGGTCCACAACCGGTTATGGACCACCTGGAGTTACAATTGGCTGGCATGAGTTAGTAGACCATTCTATACCACCATCTGGTTGAAGGGATTCCAGGATGTAAAACCCCTGTCACCGATTTCACAGAAGTGAAGGGCAGATAAAGCAACTACATCTACGGGCTTAGTATTTTCTAAAGGTATCCTGCCAGTTGGCGGAGCACTAAATATGTTATTTATATTCTCTGTACGGTTATTCGTGCATTTATGAAAAAATGATTTATGACAAGCCATTTCGTAAAGGCCGCCAAAGCGCCATCCACAACATAAAGAAGGCAGAGAGTTCCGAAGATTGAGTAGGCAGAAGAAGAGGACGGCTGAGGCCTAAAGCCGGGAACACACTTACCCGATGCAACGCTACCCTATGCTTCTATGCGAAATCAAGCGCACCCACGTAGAGTCACACAGCGTATATCACAAATCAGTATCACAATCGCAACACTTGTTTTGTTCTTAATGCATTATTTTGAGCAAAACCATCTAATAAATTGTTACTTAAATTTTATGAGCACAACCACGTAATAAATTTTTAGTTAAATTGAATTGTTTTAAATAAAGTTATTCCGATTGATAATTTTTTTTCCTACCCAACATAATTAAATAATTTTTATAAAAACTCATGAATTTTTGATCTCGTTTAGTTTGATTTATATTAAAATAAGAATGTTCTAATTAATATAACGACAAAATTACGTATACATAGTTCGAAATAAACTCCAAAAAATATGAGTGTCCTATTCTGACGCTACTCAACGAAAATGGTGTAATTGTATGAGCAAAACCATGAAATAAATTGTTAGTTAAATTTTATGAGCAAAACCGTGTAATAAATTGTTTGTTAAATTCATTATATCAAAAAATAGTATTCCGGTGTTTTGATCAACTTTCTACCAAACTAGTAAAATCAATTTTTTTTTTAAATAAAAACTAATGAATTTTTGATCTCAGTTAATTTGGTTTATATTAAAATAAGTATTTGTAATTAATATAACGTAATACATGTAGTTTGAATAAAAATATGAATGTCCGGTTCTTTTGTCTTCTACTAAACTCGATGCTACCCGACGAAAATCTGGACAATGGGGATCGCAGAGTGTAGAGTAGGGTAACTTTGCATAGCATCAGGTAGATGTGCACGGGGGTAATGCAACCTTATGGAAAATCGGAGTCTGGATTTCCGTCGGGTAGCATCGGGTACAGTTAAGCCAAAAGAACCGGACACTGATATTTCTATTCAAACTACATGTATTAATGTCGTTATATTAATTACAACATACTTATTTTAATATAAACCAAATTAACTGTGAATAAAAATTAATTAGTTTTTATTTAAAAAATTAATTTTAATGGTTTGGTAGAAAATTAATCAAAACACCGGAATACGATTTTTTGATATAATGAATTTAACTAACAATTTATTGTACTCGCTTCGGCNCCTCTTTGTTTCTTTCTAAGTAACTGTCGATCACATTTTATTGATTCTATTATTTGATTTCATGTTAAACAGCTATTAACATTTCTATTATTTACAAGCATATTAATCCCCCAACGTTATTGATTAGAGGGGGGCAACCCGCTACCACTATAAATGCCTCTGTCCGCAATTAACCCCATCTCATTTTGGTTGATCGGCAAGGACATCGTGGGACTGCTACTTTTGTCTGGGACCCCATAGGGATTACTAGAGGCATAAGATCACACGACACCGTGAGCTACTGAGTCAAAGCCCTATGAGAACCAAAAGGAAGACCATCTTAAGCTTCCAGATCAACTCCGAGTAATATACCCGATCGAAAGCTTCGCGTGTAGGAATGGTTAGGGATTCTCCGGAAGAGCACTCTTTTCTCTCAAGAGAGGTAGCGATGGCACTGCTGAAAAAAGGAATGAAA